TATCATCTCTCTTAATGTTTCTGATTTTGTCTTCTTAGGGCCATTTTTAAAGACATGAGTACAGAAACACATCATTGCATCTGACCCACATAAGGCCATTTTCAGTGCCCCAAACACATGCACACACACACACACACACACACACTCTCTCTCTCTCTCACACAGGGGTTTCCAAAAGTTCATGAAAAAATTCCCACAAACTTTTTGAAGCATATATCTACATTTGTGTGTATATATAATATATATATATACATATATTATATATGTGTGTGTGTATATATATATATATACCTGTAGCTATAGATTAACATGTACAAATCTAGAGCTTTCTGCACATGGCAGTTTGACAATTCTTACCTGGCCATTGTAGGTGACATAGAGATAGTTTGTTACTGATGGGTATTCAGCAGCCAGCGTATCAATCTGCAAGAAATAAATAAACGAGTAAGTAGGTGGGGATTTTACTCTCTTTTTCTTCCATAATTTTGTATAAGACTGATGGAGAATCTTTTATGTTACATCCATACCCCTTTAATGCCTATTACTGTCCTATATACAGACAAGGAAAAATACGTACAATCCACCTACATTCTAATTTTACAATGGGTAGGGAAAACAATGATATTCTCCAGTTACCACTTGAGCAATAAATGGCTACACACACACACCCCGCCAAGGAAGCCCTGGATTGTTGCAGTAGTAGCTTCATGAGCACCACATGTGGTCCTGTAGCCAAGGTGCAACCAGCCAGCTGTCTACATAAATCAGCTTCATTTAAAATTGGTATAAAATAGCCTGCATATAAGTGTCTTCGGTTTGCAGAGGGTTTAAGTTAATAATGGCACTGGGCAATAGACACAAATACCATAGAGCATGGGTGAGGGGCTGAGAGGCACGGACTTATCGAACACATGTGGGAAAAGTAAATCAATTCAGCTCTCCAGAGCCAGGAGCTCAGCTTAGTGAGCAGGAATGTGAGGCCAAGAGGCCAAGCTAGTTCGAGCCAGGTGAGAAGGAAGACAGATAATAATTGCTGGGTAGAAACTATTCAGTGCCAAGCCTAGGACCTAAAGGTATACATGTGCCCCCTGAGCACCCGGGGAAAGCCAATGATTTTAAAGGACAAAAACCAGCTGGTGGTACTTTAAGTCGAGGCATCTCTTACACTAAAGGCCAAAGAGAGAGAGGGGGGGGGGGGAGAGAGAGAGATTACAAATGCACACCTATGCAAGAACATGTGTGATTGTCATGAATACTAGATGAGCTCATTATGCCCAGCCCTATCACAATGAATACGAAATGAACCATAATGATGGAGCACTTAAAATAAAGTATTACCCTGTAAAAAGTTAGTGCCAAAGGAGATAACTATTCTTTTCAAGAGGGTCAGCCAACACACTAGGGTATTTCAAATCCCTCTATTACACTCAGGGTTTCTCTTACTACAGATATATTTGGATACAGGTCAAAGAGCAGAAGAGAGGTCATTGTGATTTTTGACTTTCTCTTAGGTTCAGAAAAGCAGGGATTTATTCTGATCTCTATGTCCCCTGCCTTCTCTCCCTTGTAAGAGAAATCAACCGTGGGCTGAACACCATTGATGACATCATAGTAACCGTTGGACAAGTAGTCTCTTTCTAACTCCACCACTCGGCTTTTTGAGTTGATGGGTGGCTACATTTCATCAGAGCAGCCCTACACAGAAAGAGAAATGTCTTTACCTGTTTAACCCAAGGATGGATATTTTTCTTCAACCTCAGATCCCTGGTTTGGGCTTCTGTCAGCCCAAGGCATTTTGAAATCTGCTTGTCTGAGAACCCAATTTCCTTTGCCTTTCTCAGTGTTTCTTCTGTAATGGACTCGCTGGAATAAATGGTGGGAAAAAATATTCATGGTTAGATCAGACAGAAAAAAGAAGGAAGAAACCTCCATTTCCACAACACCAGGAGATCCTTCCCAACTTCAAACTTGTTTGGGTTTCCTTACCTCGTGGAAAATATAAGCCATTGTGGGACTACAATCAATGTCACAAAACAAAATGTGTATGAACTGTTGAATGGAAAACCAAGTTGGACCGTAACTCTACCAATGAGAAAAGTTCATTTCTATAAATACAAACTCCCTAAACCCTTTCTTCTTTATGAAGTCCCCTGCCCTTCATACTGCTGAGGTCCTCTCACCTGGGGCCCGCTTCTGCCACACTCGATGGCGCTTTGCCTTCTTATTGCCTCATAAATGACAGTTCCAATGAATTTACTCCTTCAGAAATCACCGACACGCCTTCATTTCAACATCCTCGGCATGAGGACTAGGACTTCATAACACGTTGGCATAGACCTCTTTTGATGTTCTATTTCCCAAGTGATGTCTTCCTCTGACAACCTATTAGTCCTTACAACTGTTTACTTTTTGTTTGTCTGTTTGTTTCTTTGTTTGTTTGTTTTCCCAAGATTCTACCTCTGTTACCTGCTTTGTTCTGCCTACCTTTTCTACCATTCTCAATTCAGTCATTCTCAGGAGCTCAAGGTTCATAATTACGTGCTGATTCTCCAATCTGTGGCTCCTTATCTGGTGACTGGCCTGTGCTCTAGCCCTTTAGGTCTACGAACTTGAGAATCATCTCCATTTAGGAATATAAATATTGCGTCCGACTTGGTCTTCCCGCCATGAAATGTCTCTATTTCCAAAGACCATTTATCTGTTGATGTTGACAAGATGGTTTTGTAGTTCAACGATTATTTTCCACTCAAGTTATATTTGTGATGACTCAGTTTCTCCAAGCTCATTCCGTAGTGAGAGGTTCTATGAGTTGTTTTTCTCATCTGCAATGTCTCTTCCATTCCTTTACCACCCAACCAACTGACAGCTAGCTCTAAAAGGTCTGTTCTCATCACACTAATCTTCCCATCCTCTCACTTCCTCTTTTGCTTGACTCCATGGTCAAATCAGAACCATGGAGTTGAGCATGTCATCATCACTTGATAAGTGTTGCTTACCTTTCATTCACTAATCAGATATTTTCCTTGCTGAGTTTATGTTCCGTGAGGCCAGAGAACACATGTAGCTCATTGACCAGGCGATTCCCAAAGTTTTGCACAATGTCCATGTCACAGACAGAATTAATAAGTCTATAAGCCTCTAGTGCTTTTAAAATATTTATCGAAATCAGATTGTAAGTAGGATTTAAAATGTACGCAACTACCCATGGGTCAGCTAGTTCAAGCAATTGTCAGTACAATAAAATTCAATTGTAAGAGTTTGATAGTCAATACAATACAATTAAAATACAAAAGTAGATTATCAAAAGATCTAACTTATACTGAATAAAACATTTTCACTGAAATCCTAATAGACTACAATTGAATTAAACCTATTGCATTTTTCACATTCCAATCTTCAATATCCTTTAATTAATTCATATTCTGAGTGTGGAGAAAAATGATCCTTGAGCTGAGGTATACAATGTCCTCCTCTGGCTTTCTGATCTGATTATTCTAGTTTGGATTTTTGTATCTACAGCTCTTCCTAGTCAATTCACTTTTAAATTGCCCCTAAATTTCTGTCTATCAAATCAATGTGTTCTTTCTCCCAATTAATTAAATTTCTTCTTTTTTTTATTCCCACTTGGAATATTTTGTCTTCCCCACTATTCTATACATTCTCCTTCAGAGCAACACATTTCCCTGTCAGAGTTCAACCTATCCAATATGATTAATTACTTACTATGTGTGCCTAGGACTGAGGTATATGCTGTAGAACTGTAGTTATCTATATGATAGCCACTAGCCACATGTGGGTATTCCAATGGAAATGTTATTTACTCCATATTAAAGAAACAATCATCATTTGGGATTTCAGTCACACTAACCACACAGCAAGTCCGTGTACAGTTACCTCACTGTAGAAATTCTACCAGGTATGTTGCTCCAAAAGATACAAAACAATATTTGGGTCAAGACATACTCATGGGATGACGGAGAATAATTCAAAATACTTTATGAAGTGATAAACTACAAGGTAGCAATGATGAGCACAAAACAGAGGTCAGAGAAGAGAGGTAACCGTAGCTGTAGTTAAGAAATACTGTTAGTGGCAAGACTAGAACCAACCCATAAAGAAAGTTCAATCTTTTATAGATGGAAGAGTTGCCAGAGGTGCTATTGTCAAGGGCAACTGCATTCGCAGTAACATGAATGCAGGAATAGGCATCGCATGTGTAGGATGCACAGCGGATTTATGGGTGGAGTTCATAGGCAACTGGGTGGTAGAGGTGGAGCACTACCTAGAATTGTTCTTTCAGAGACAATATCAGGTCCCTGCAGTCAAGGAGGTTAGACAATAATAGGATTCAAACAAATGATCATCGATTTGTCTGCGCTGTGAGCAGCACTGAGAGTTGTCCACAAAGCTTGAGTCCATGGCTCCAGAAAGAGGCTCCCATCTCCCTTTAGGATGAAAGTCTTGACCCGAGAGATAACTTCTGAGCTTGGGAAGAACTTTGCAATGCCATAGCGTGTGGTGATCTTCAAGTTTGAAGATTTTTTTTGTTGTTTTAGACAAAGGAGGATGGATTTACCTGGTGTTCTTTGTTTGGGAAAGGGATGTTTCCCCTCTCTCTTGCCAAGCAGATGCTCCTAAGCAATTGCTTATCTGTCTGTGTGCAAGGGTGCAATTCAGCCTCACAGCGGAGGAAGTGCTGGACAAACAGGCCATTTTTCTAAATTAGAACTTTGGATGATGTTCTTCTTAAATAAATATCCCTAACCTCTGGTTTGTAGAATCTCTCCAATCATATCAGCATGTAAATTCTTGGGGGAAGAAGATAGATTTTCCCTGAGATCTGGAATTTTAGTAAAAATGCTGACATGGAGCCTGCGTTATGTAAAGAAATACTCTACATATAATATTATCACTTAAAGAAAAATGCTATTTGCTAAAATGTTTTTCAGCATTATGAGATAGCAGTAAGAGAAATAAAATAATTAATTAATCTTCAATAAGACATTTCTCCATGTGTGAAAGCTGAGGCAAAACCCTATGTGAATGTCTGAAAAAACAAAGTATCTTAAAATGACTAAAGCCCTAACCCAGCACAAAGGCAGGCAGAACACATGCCTCAGAAAGAACTAGCTCACCTATGACCAGGGGATAAAACATCTATGATGATAGATGTTTTTGTTTGTCTACAACCAAACCAGACAGGCAAACCGAGTTGCCGTCAAGTTATTCTGACTCAGGGCAGCACACGCGCTCCAGAGGTGGAATGGCCTTAGTCAAGTTTTCAACGGCCATGACGGCTCTTGAGGGATTTCCAGGACTTCAGGGGCACTGCTGGTTGGATGTGAATCACGAACCGTTAGTTCAGTATCAGCAAAAATTAAATCAGTTGCCGTGGAGTCTAGGCAGATTCTTGGTGAGCCCACATGAAAAGGCTAGGACTCTAAGGGAGTTTAACGACTTTGATCTTTTGGGGGAGTACATCAGGAAACTGTCTTCTGGGGTCCCTCTAACTCCCAAATCCAATGGTCAACGAGTTCATTCTGACTCCCGGTGACCCTAGAGGACAGGGTAGCACTGTCCCCTGGAGTTTCCGAAGCAGTAAGTCATGAGGGGAGAAGACAGCCTCACTTTCTCCAGAGGTGCTATCGTCAAGGACAACTGCATTTGCATTAATACCCAATGCAGCAAGAGCTGTTGCAAGTACAGGAGGTACTGGATTCATAACATATCACCGTATTTTCAATATCTTGGAAAATGAAGTCATATTAAATTGCATTGGCATCTGAATACGTCCATGGTCATCCACCTTAACTTGAATGCAAATGTTGACCTTGGGATATGTAAACAGTAAATATGCTTGGCTGCAACCTGAAAGACAGGCAGCTCAAAGCTCCTCGTTGGCACCTCAGAAGAAGGCCTGGTGATATACTTCCCAAACAGTAGCCATTTAAAACCCTACTGAGCACACATGGGGTCACCATATCAGAGTTGACTCAAAGGCAACTGTTTTTGGTTGTTGCTTGTGGTTGCAAGGGACATCTTGATTATTTCATTCATGGTCTCTCTGATTATTAATTGCTAATCCTTAGACACATCATTGAGATAGTACAGAGCCTTTACAATCTCCATAATGGAAAAATAGAGGCTGAAGCTGGCTCACCAGGGCCATGAGCAAAGACACAGACAAGTTAGAGCTACTCACACATCCAGTTTTGCCTGGTTCTCCAGTATATGCAACCCCACGACCGGGCCAGGCTGCCTCTCACCAGCTCCCTGACTCCTTCTCCTCTCTGCTTCTGCAGGATACAAAGCTGCTGCGATGGCATTACACCCGAAGAAGCAAAGTGACTTTATTCCCAACTTATTCGGAAACAACATTTTATTTTGTGTCCCATTATAGTAAAAGAAAAGACAAAAGACAGTTTGAAGACACGATTCATTAGTTTTGGGCCAGTGATTTAGATAAGGTTAAACCTCTTCCGAGGCAAATAAAAGATGAATAATCTTAAGTGAGCATAAAGCTCATTTAACAGTGTGGAGATTCAGCCACAGCTTCCTGATCTGTACCTGTGCAAATCGGGCTGCCCTCCATCTTGTCAACCACAAAGAATTCCTACCATTGTGAGATTTTTCAACAATCTTGCTAGGTAACCGCTCCTTCTAGAGCAGGCTATCATCTGCTACTTTCTCAAGGAAACCGAAAGCCTCATCTTGGAACAAATTCAAGACAGAATAATTACTAAAAGCAACATATTGTAAGTGCTGCATTTATAATTCAGAAATGCTTCTTGAAGTCTCAATCGGGGATCCTCTATTTATATTATATTTTAATCAAGGGAACATTGCCCCAAGTCAAATGTGTG